GAGTTACATGTGAGTTTATCCTCCAAGGTATCCTGATGCATGCTCAATAATCCAGGTAGCACGGTGGCGCAACTGGTAGAGCTGCTGCCTCTCAACGAGCAGGTCCTTGGTTCAAATCCCGGTCCGGGGGCCTTTCTGGGTGGAGTTTGCATGTTCTCTCCAAGCATGCGTGGGTTTTCTCCGGGTACTCCGGTTTCCTCCCACAGACCAAAAACATGCATGTTAGGCTGATTGGTAACTCTAAATTGTCCCTAGGTGTGAGTGAGAGAGTGAATGGTTGTTTGTCTCGTTTGTCTCTATGTGGCCCTGTGATGGACTTGCGACCTGTCCAGGGTGTACCCCGCCCCTCGCACAGTGATTGCTGGACATGGGCACCAGCAACCCCCGTGACCCAAAATGGAATAAACGGGTAAAGAAAATGGATGGATGGATGGATGGATGGTATCCTGATGCATGCTCAATAATCCAGGTAGAAAAATCCAAAAAAGTTCAATCTGGTCCTCTGGACATTCAAAAAAACAAAACAAAGCAAAAAAATTTAGATATGTTTCGTCTCTCATCCGAAAGAGTCTCATCAATCTGAGGTGCTGTATTCAGCTCAGTCTCTTAAATAGCACCTTCTGTGTGGATCAACCAGTTTGCTGCTGACAACCAAAACCAGCTGCTCACATGGTCAAGAAGGACCATCAGCCTAATAATGGATCATTAGCACTCTGATGGCTGTTTACTATTCACAGTGGGTTGAGTGATACTAGCAATAACAGCATTGTAAGAGGGGGACAGTTGAACCCGGAGGTCTCCACCCCTGTTTAATGATGGATGGTTTCTTTTCACAAAGATGGCCTCCTTTACTCCTCTCTCAAACCATCGTTCCTCTCTGTCCAGGATGTGAACATTTTCATCCCTGAAAGAGTGACCGCTGGCCTGGAGATGAGTGTAGACTGAAGAGTCCTAGCCTGATGATGTTGATCTTCTGTGCTGGGCCAGCCAAAAGGACTTTTATGTTGTAAATACAATATGCCTCTTTAGGTTTTTTGTTTTGTTTTTTGTTTTATTATTAATTTTGGATTTTTGTTTGTACGGTTTAATTTATTTTATTTTGTATTCTTCTTATTTGGTTAGATTTGTTTGCTAGTTGTAACTTTGTAAAGACGTAGTGTGAACACA